TCCGTGCATGCCGCCAGGCCAGAGCCGACCCAGACGCGCAGAGCACGGTGGGGGCGAGGGCTCAGACCCTAGCCCACCCCCGGGAGAGGTTAAAGAACACCGAGGACAGGACAAGGGGCAGTATGGCCAGCAGTCCACCCGCAGGGTTCACCCCCCACCTGCCGGCCTGCCGGACGCTCAGGTTCAAATGCGGCCCTCGGTACTGCTGCAGGGAACCTGGACGGCCCGTCTCGCCCAGCGTGGCCTGGGGGCCCGCCTCACAAACACGCCTCACGGCGACTGCCCCAGACGCGCCGAGAGAACTCCCCCGAGGCCGCTGGGGCCGCCCCGGGCCCAGGCCGCGCCGCACCTTCCTGTAGTACTCCAGGAAGCTCACTTCCGAGCCGTCTGCCTTCTTGAAGGTGCTGTTCGGGTTCTGGTCCCAGTCGATGTCGTCCACTCTGTACGTTTTGTTGTTATACCTGGGGACAGGTGCGTCTACTGGTATTTGAGGTACAGTAAAAACTAGAAACCGAAATGCCCGGTCACCCGGTGACATGCACGTCACGGAAAGAACAACGAACTTCTTGCCGACTCCGCGGGGCGGATGGGAAGGGCCCGGCCGCTGCTCGGGACAAGTCATTAGGGGTCTGCCTGTCCCTCACAGGGGGCCCCCCAGCATGCCAGGCGGGTGCCCGCGGTGACGGGACGGCGGCCGTACTTGGTGAGCACGATGAGGCCGATGAGCTCCTTGGAGACCTGCTCCTGGAACCTGTGCTCCTCCGTCTGCTGGTACAGGCTGAACATGAAGTCGAGCACCGTCTCGCTGCGCAGCACCTTGTGGCTGACGTCCGTGCACAGCATGATGTTGTTCTCATACTGCAGGATGGAGGTCGTGAAGCCCGGCCAGATCACCAACCTGCGCACAACCCACACGGTCGGCACGGCCGGCCCGCGCCTCGGGCGGCTCAGTCCCTCTTCCCCAGGGTTTCACAAGGCCCCAGGGCCCTGTCTCTCCCAGATCTTCACGATGCTCTTTCGTGACAATTCCGCGACTTTACCAACGTATTCCGCGTCCTGGCCTACACTTGGGAAGGTGCCAGTCTAACCGGAGCATCTCGAATCTCGAGTTATTACACTAAACCAAACCCCTGGGCTGCCCCCCGACGCCCCGCCTTCTGAAGCCGGCATCATTGGCTGACGGATGTTACTACCTGGGAGCAGATACACACTTGGCGTGAGACGGCTGTGAGCCTCCCCAGCCACGCGTGGCTACATACCTGTGATTTTAAATCCAAGTATTCTGGGATGTCTCCTCTACCACTCGAGCCAAGTTCAACGTGCACTCCCCGTAACAGCACCACTCACAGCCACCGAGGAAACCTGACCCTCGGTCTGTGGTTAAGCCTAAGGGATGGGCACCTTCCACCTCAAACACACCTGTGATTGGGAATGTCAATCGGGTCACTAGGGTTGTAATAATTCCGTCCGATTTGTTGCAGATTCATGATCTTCAAAAGCCTGGGGAGGGAAAGGTCAGACAGAGGAGCGAGCACTGCGAGCGTCCCGGACACTATAGTTGCCACACGCGTGGCTCAGTGCAGGGGCCGGCAGACTGAGGCCCCCTCGGACCAGATCCAGCCTCCCTGCTGGGTTTTGTTTGGCTGAGGGGCAGAGAATAGCTTTTTACAGCTATTCTCTGAAGGTTGGAAAAATGAAGAGACACATGGAGTATATGAAATTCCAATGCCAGTGCCCATCAGGAAAGCTGTGGTGGAGCCCAGGCACGAGCTCCCACTGACGTGGGCTCCATGGCTGGGACCCCACAAGCCTGAACATTTATCACGGAAAGTCTGCCAACCCCTCGTATACAGAAAAATCTGCCTACTCATTACATTAATTCAAAACAAGTACCCACAAACCAACGTCCCAGGGTCAGTGGCAGATATCTTAGGATCAGCTTGAAGAGGAGACTTACAAACCCAGTGTTACACTTCAGTATCCTCACGTCCCCATGTCCCCATGTCCTCGTCCTCAGGCAGATGTCAGCCCCACCCAGCCTGCTTCCCACCCAGGGGGATGTGGTGTCTGTGCTGAGAGCACACAGTGTGTCTCCCATGTTGAAACAAGCAACCTGCATGGACCCCGCCCTGTCCCTGAGTCAAGCCCACCATGGGGAGAGGAACAGAGCTGGGGAAGCTGAGAGTGGGGGTGTTCTTAACACAATTCAAAGAGCATTTGAAAAATCAGACATCAACACAGGGAGCTGAAGCCAGAAGGGCCTGCTCGGAGCTGACGGTGGGTTTCAGAGCAGCCGGCCACACCTCAGAGCCACGCGGTTCAGAGGGGCGTGACCCCGTGTGCGGTCAGTCCCCGGGCAGTCTCCATACCGGTCTTCCCACTTCCTGGGATATTTCAAATCTTTCTTAGTGAACCTTTGGGAAACGCCGACGCACCTCCTGAAAATGATGTTGTAGAACTGCAGGCAGGTGGGCGACGTGGGCGGGAGCTCGTTGGTCAAGGTGATGGTTATCTTCACATGCTCCCCGTTCCGGGTCTGACTGAACACTTCTGTCACCTGATGCAGAGGGGAGCGGGCTGTGGACGGTGGAGGGACACTAGCCCTCCTCAGGGCGAGAGTGAGCAGCACAGAAATGCTCCCAAACGAAAACACAAAACACAGTGGCTGTGCGCAGGGGCGAGCAGCTGTGTGGGCTGCACCCGACCACCGGGCCCCTCGGCCGACTGAGGGTGACAGTAGTGACCCAGCACCTCGAGGTGTCTCAGGTCCTGTCAGGACACGTGGGGCTCCGTAAGAGCTCCTGGGACTGCCACAGTTTTGTGATGAAGGGAAACCCCACCTTCCGCCCTCTCCCATCCCAGCATGTTAAGTAACCTTGTGCTGTAGCCTCTTAGGTAAAAATAATATCGTCCCATCGAAGGCATGACACCGTCCGATCAGATCTTCATGCTGGAACAGCAGAGCCGAGCGGAGCCTGCGGGCCTCCATCAGCGGGTTGTAGTCAATGTGGTACTGGTACAGGGCCCACTGGGGACGGGACGTCAGCCGGAAGTGGTTGGTGCTCAGCCTCACGATGATGCCCGAGGAGCCTGTGGGAGCAGGTGCCGCCCAGTCAGCGAGCGCCACGCCCTTCTGACCCGGACCCCTTCCTGCGGCCAGGCAGACCCGGCCCTGCAAGCAGAAGGCAGAGGGCAGGTGACGCCTGACCCGGGGACTCCCATCCATCCGTGTCATCCCTATGGGCACCACTCAGAAATGAATCCTCCTCAGACTGATTTACAACTGGGCCAACCAGACCTACCTCACCAGGGTCCTGCAGGGGAAGGGGTGGTGGCAGAGCGGGCAGGGCCCGCCCCGCAGGCCTGGTCTCTAGGGCAGTGTGGACACAAGTGCACCAGCCAGCACGTGGGACTTGGCTCCCTCTGTCCCAGCACCTGCAGGTCAGCTCAGGAACCGCGCTGTAACCCACCTGTCTTTGATTCTTTAACATGGTCGATGTTCTGTCTCGTGTTCACACCGAGATCATGGAAGTCCCGGCGACGACCTCCTCGCTCTGCGAGTGACAGCTCCTGAAAGCCGGCAGAGATCTGGAGTTCTTAAAGAGAGGAAGCACGAGAACCACACACCTGAGTCACACGGAGCCAGGCCTGGAGCAAGCCCAGCTCCCCCGACCACGGGCAGCAGGGCCAGCTCCGGCCACCGGCTTGTGGACAGAAGCACAGAGACCAGGGGCCTAAACACAGCGGTGGGTCCAGAAGGACCGACCATGGGAGCATCGCCCAGGAGCCCCAGGTCTTCACTGAGCAACTGAGGACAACAGACCTCACAGGAGGGGCGAGTGGAACCGGCACTGTGACTGCTGACACGCTGCTGCTGCACCTCATGACCCCGGGCTCCATGTAAGGGCCCTTCAGGTGTCACTGTCCGCGTCTGTCTCCCTCCCCGAACTGTTCATCCCAAGGCCTCAGTCCCTAGTGCCCATGGCCTGGACCGAGTAATCCCACTAAGGGGCCAGGCCCCGAGTCCCACCTGAGAGCCTCCGACCTGAGAGCAACAGCAGGTCAGAAGGGCTGGATTTGAACTTTCCCCTGAAAAATCTGAATTAAAAAAAAAAAATCAGCTGTTTCCGGGCAACCATGTGCCTCTGCCCCACGTACAAGCAGCCGTGTCCCACCACCCACAGAGAGAGCGCGACGTCCTCACACGAGTCCCACGGGGACGTGGGTGTTTGTTCTATACAAAAACCAAACCACCGCCATTTGAGAATCTTACGTCACTCATCCAGATAATTCCATTTGCAGCGACGAGCACACGTCTGGAACCAGACCTGGTGTCTGACCCACTGGCTGTGACGGCCAGCCCTGTCCTCTCCAGGGAGGAGGGACCCGGGGCACCCCCACCCCACAGCAGGCTGCACCCCTGGGGGGAGAGGATGTCCCCGTGAACCTCATAGGACCACTGAGCCCTTCATTCAGGGTTTGAACACGGGCGGCCGGCTCGCGTCTGACACACTCTCTTCACTGTCCCTTCACCTGGTGACTTGGCTGTTGCTCCTGCTGGTCCTCGCTGTCGTCCACGGCCAACCAAGTCCCCCTCGGACAGCGGCTGCTGTGGTCGGGGCTGACTGTACCCGGGCTGCTGACTCTGTTCCGTGCAAACAGAGGTCTTATGTCAAGAGGTCACAGGGAGGAGACAGACTAACTAGTCTAAGGCACCCGACCCAAGCCGGTCTCAGTCATCCAGTCTTTACCACAGAGACACGGCGCCAAGAAAGGTCGCCAACGAGGGTCAAGAGCCACTGCTGACGCCCAGGAGCTGGGCCCGACCCTCCTGTGGGCTCCCACCTCCCTCCCCAGACACACTTTCAAACCTGCCTTGGGGGCGGGGGGTGAGCAACAGGACAGGGTGGCCGAGGGGGTTGTGGTGAGAAATT